GCCCCCCCCCTCCCCCCCCCCAGCCCCTGCCAGCCCCGCCCTGGGCTCCCCCAGCCCTTCCGGTGCCCCTCACTCCCCACCCGCAGCCCCTGCCAGCCCGGCCCTGGGCTCCCCGAGCCCTTCCGGTGCCCCTCACTCCCCACCCGCAGCCCCTGCTAGCCCGGCCCTGGGCTCCCCGAGCCCTTCCAGTGCCCCTCACTGCCCACGCTCAGCCCCTGCCAGCCCCGCCCTGGGCTCCCCGAGCCCTTCCAGTGCCCCTCACTGCCCACGCTCAGCCCCTGCCAGCCCCGCCCTGGGCTCCCCGAGCCCTTCCAGTGCCCCTCACTGCCCACGCTCAGCCCCTGCCAGCCCCGCCCTGGGCTCCCCGAGCCCTTCCAGTGCCCCTCACTGCCCACGCTCAGCCCCTGCCAGCCCCGCCCTGGGCTCCCCGAGCCCTTCCAGTGCCCCTCACTGCCCACGCTCAGCCCCTGCCAGCCCCGCCCTGGGCTCCCCGAGCCCTTCCAGTGCCCCTCACTGCCCACGCTCAGCCCCTGCCAGCCCCGCCCTGGGCTCCCCGAGCCCTTCCAGTGCCCCTCACTGCCCACGCTCAGCCCCTGCCAGCCCCGCCCTGGGCTCCCCGAGCCCTTCCAGTGCCCCTCACTGCCCACGCTCAGCCCCTGCCAGCCCCGCCCTGGGCTCCCCGAGCCCTTCCAGTGCCCCTCACTGCCCACGCTCAGCCCCTGCCAGCCCCGCCCTGGGCTCCCCGAGCCCTTCCAGTGCCCCTCACTGCCCACGCTCAGCCCCTGCCAGCCCCGCCCTGGGCTCCCCGAGCCCTTCCAGTGCCCCTCACTGCCCACGCTCAGCCCCTGCCAGCCCCGCCCTGGGCTCCCCGAGCCCTTCCAGTGCCCCTCACTGCCCACGCTCAGCCCCTGCCAGCCCCGCCCTGGGCTCCCCGAGCCCTTCCAGTGCCCCTCACTGCCCACGCTCAGCCCCTGCCAGCCCCGCCCTGGGCTCCCCGAGCCCTTCCAGTGCCCCTCACTGCCCACGCTCAGCCCCTGCCAGCCCCGCCCTGGGCTCCCCGAGCCCTTCCAGTGCCCCTCACTGCCCCCCCGCAGCCCCTGCCAGCCCGGCCCTGGGCTCCCCTCTCCAGACAGCTTGGCAGGCATCCTTGATCCCAACTCATCCCTATTCCAGTCCTGGGCACAGGTGGGCAGTGGGCAGCCTGAGGCCGTATCTGACCCCAGCTCACAGAGGTGAAAGGTGAGTTCTCTCTCTCGTTCGGCCAATCAGACCTTTCTGCCCCTGAGTCTGGGCTCCAATTCACCCCTCTTCGATGGATCAGCCCAAGACTAGAGACTCGGCCATGTCCTAGCCAGCTGGCCTGGAGAAGCAACATCACCACTTCCTGCAGGGTCCTCCCGCCACAGCCTGACGTGACTCCGACTGGCCCTGATGTGTCGGCCTCCCAGGGCTACCTGGTCCTCTGGCAGGTTTCCATCATCCTCCAGGATCTGGAAGAGCTCCCCCTCCGCGTAGTCTGTCACCACCACCACCTGGAAGGGAGTCAGAGTGTCAAGAAGGGATCATGGGCCCTGAGAGAGCAGGAGTGAGCCCGGCTGTGTCCTGGGGAGCCAGGGGGAGGGGATCCAACAGCTGGAGCATCGGTGAGGTAATCAAAGCGTGCCAGGAAACAACCCTGATTCCAGCCACGCCTGGCCAGGTCCCGAGACCCAGCCTTGGGCCTTCCTCAGGCAGCTCCCAGTGGGGCCTGAGGGACGCAGAGAGATTTAGCCCACAGGGCGTAGAAACGGCCAGCGGGGCCCGGGGGGCGGACGGGATCACTGGGGACACAGTGAGCGCTAAGCAGGCTGGCTGTCGGACTCCCCCGGGTATGGGAAAGCAAGGCACTCGCCCAGCTTCTGGCGGGGGAGAGAATCATGCAACAGCTCCTGCTTGCTCCTCCCGGGCAGGGACTTCCCCTCGCCACGGGAAGGGAGAGGACACCCCTAGCTTCTGCCAGCAATGGCTATCCCGGAGAACCTGTGCAGCTGCCAGTGCATGCACCTCCCCCCTAGATGGTGCCACACAGGCCCCCTCCTACCTCCTTGTCTGTCTCGAAGCTGTCCAGCATCTGGACGATGTTGGGATGGTGCAGCCCCCTCATGATCTCAATTTCCCGCTGCAGGTTCTTCAGCTCCTTCTCCGATCGCCCGACTTTGGGGATGAACTTCAGCGCCACCCGTAAGCCCCCGCCCAGGCCAGGAGCAACTAGTGACTGCTAGGGGAGAAGGCCAAGGCTCCCCTAGCCACTGCACGTGACCATAGCAGTCTGCATGGATTATGGGGGGCCCGGGTTTGCTGAGTTTCCCTGTTGGTAACGTTTAGAATATTGAACTGATTTTCTTCACACATGGCTAACTGGCGGCTCAGTGAGCTCCACCAAACAAGCGACAGCTGGAAACCTTCATTGTAAAGGTGCGACAATTCAATGCTAGAAGACTCTGTAAAGTGTGAATGTCACTGGTTGGGCCCACAGGCAGACTGCATCTTTCTCTGAGGTTCTGACTTTTTAAAGTAGCCACTGGTTTCTAGGGCAGACTCTTACACACACTGACTGCAAATCAGGTACCCAGTTGTCTAAATGTCACTAACTGCATCTGCAACGAATTGCAGGCAGAACAGTGTTGTGAACAACTGTGCCTGTAGAAATGGAGTCTAGGGGTGTGTCTAGACTACAGGGTTTGGTCGACAAAAGTGACCTTTTGTCGACAAAACTAGACCTGCACCTACACTACCGCCGAGTTCTGTCAACAGAACTCAGCAGTGTTGTCGATGGCGGTAAACCTCGTTCTACGAGGAATAACACCTTTTGTCGGCAGAGTTCTGTGGCCAGAAGGCGTTATTGCATCTACACTGTCCTTTGCGTCTACACTCATGTCGACAAAGCGGCTTGCTTTGGCGACAGAACTGGATCTAGTCTAGACGCTCTTTGTCAACAGCTTTGTCGACAGTATCTGTCGACCAAGCCTCTGTTGACAAAAGCCTGTAGTCTAGATGTACCCTAGGTGAAAGGCCTTTCTAAAATAGGCATGGGATTGTTCCAGAAAGCATGTGAAAACAGGCGGTTTAGAATGGGAACTGTCATGCAATCTTAAACAGTGAACAACTACCAGATAAACTATCTGTTGCAGATGACTGTTGTGCATCACACTTGACTGTTACAATCACAGAATCCCGAGCTCCATATCAAGGAGTCTCTAGCCCTGTGCTGTGTTTCCCCCACATCTCACGCTGGTGCTTTTTCCCTTCCCACCTCCTCCTCAGAGTGCCCCATCCTGGATCTCTCCTCACCTGGGCACTATATTTTCGGCGCCCCTTGTACACCCTCCCAAAGGAGCCCTCTCCAATCATCTCCAACACGTGGTATTTCTCCATGGTGGGTGTGCCAGCCTGACAGTGCAAAGTGGTGCATTAGAGGGTGTTCAATACATCTTCCACCTCCTGGCTTCACCTTCCCTCTCAGGCCTAGGCCAGCTGAAAGGAAGCATGGGGTAATGGTTAGGGCACTAGCAAGGAGTCGGGAGACCTGGGTTCAAGTCCGTGTTCTACCATAAACTCCCTGGGTGACCTCCGCAAGTTCCTGAGACCCAGCCCCTCAAAGGTGCTGTCTCAATGGGACCCGGGTGCCTAAATACCTTGGACAGCCCCACTCCAGGCTTCAGCCCTGCAGCAATGGAAATGACAGTACCTGCCCCTGGCAGGGCGAGGGGAATAAACAAGACACGTGCTCGCAGGCTGGGTGCTACCGCGGTGTTTCCCATTGGCCCTCTCTCTGCATACCTGAGACCCAGCCCCTCAAAGGTGCTGTCTCAATGGGACCCGGGTGCCTAAATACCTTGGACAGCCCCACTCCAGGCTTCAGCCCTGCAGCAATGGAAATGACAGTACCTGCCCCTGGCAGGGCGAGGGGAATAAACAAGACACGTGCTCGCAGGCTGGGTGCTACCGCGGTGTTTCCCATTGGCCCTCTCTCTGCATACCTCCAATGCGCCCGCACTCCCCCAACGTGCCAGCCC